TTTATTTATATATATATATATATATATTATTTTTTTAAAAATTGGCACTCCTACGAATACTATTACCAATACTAATACTGACATTGATCATTTGCTGACTGCCCAAGCTAATACCAGCCTTAACACTAATATTTACACGTTTTTAAGCCAATACGAATAGGCACCATACAAATACTAATGATGATTAATACTGACGCTCATACTCCTACGCATATCAATAATTATGCCCATATTGGTAGTAGTGTATTTCAATACCAATACTAATACACACCTACATATACCAATGTACATAAATATACATACCACTATATTAAAGTACAAATACATTAGCTCATGCATGTATTTATCTGTTAGTATTTTCATTTAATCAGGAGTAATACTACTATAAGACAAACGCTCATGCGAATACATAACCTCATTTTAATATTAGCAGTAGCACTAGCACTAGCACTATTACTAATACCAATCACACTGTTTATACCAACACCAAAATTTACATAAGCATTGATACTCCTACGTATACTACTGCGTATACTCTTATGCTGTTAACAGTAATGCTGTCACCAATACTAATACTGACATTGACAACTTGTTGAATATTCAAGATACTGCCAGTATTAATACCATTCTTAACACTTATACTAAGGCTAATGCGGCTATGGATAATCCTAATACGAATATTAACATTAATACTCCTACGAATACCAATAGTCATATTCATATTGATGTGAAGACTACTACCATTACAAAAGACACGTGCATATGCTAATGCACACCAGAACACATACCATTATCCTAAAATGCCGATATGTATCAATGCATTCATGTACTGATGTTTTAGGACAAGCATATACCCATATGCCAATGTAACAATACACTACTTGTTAATGTGTGAATATACTATACTAGTATGCTATTATACTAGTATGCTACTATACTAGTATACGACGACTGTTATATGCAAGTATACCGACATGGCAGGTTAGTGTACTAATATGACAACATACTGACATACTTATGAATCTTTAGACAATACACGTATATTGCCAATACTCGTATACTAATACACTAAAGTACGAATATACTGGTATGTTAATATACTACTAGTTTACTCATGCATCAGTTGTACTAAAGTATTAAATCTACGAATATGCAAGTATACAAATATGTTGCCTCTCGAACACATCAATGTATTGATATACTAACCTGCTGATCTACGAAACTATCAGAATAGTAACATATCGAAACTAACTCTACTTTTGATACCAATACTAGCACCTCTGCCATTATTAACTGATATTAAACCCAGCATGAAGACTGATACTAATACTAGCAGTGGTACTATTACTGGCATTGACACTGGCACTAGCACTAAGATTAAAACGAAGATGAGCACTAACATTAATGTATACGTACTACTGTCGATATATACATATATATATATATATATATACTTACAGTAAACACTAATACTATTGCTGATACTAATACTAATACCAATATTAATACTCATACTCATCCTATACCCATGCTACCACAAAACTCAAAACTCACGTGTCGCGCGTCTGGTCCATGCGTCCTCAGTACATGGCATGTTAAAAATATACTTGGTATATGTACTGTAAAGGATTTGCTTTACAGATTGTCGTCATGTGTGGTGTGTTTAGATACAATATCTCAGCCTAGTCACCGAACGAGAGTACACTATCACAAGGGCATGGTCTGTCAACGGGGGGGGTGAGCATATAAATATAGGGTCCTTACAGTTAAGGGTCTTTTTGGTCCTTAAGGCGGCTTTCTGATCCCCGACTTCCTCCGATTCGAATCCTCCAGCACGCTCTCGAACAGCAAACGCTAAACCCTCTAAAAGGCAGGCCCAAAACCCCCTGAACCCGCTAACGCCCTAAACCCTTAAAACCCTGAAAACCCCTAAACCTCTGTAGATCCTTTGAAGGAGCCCTGCAAAGGAACCCTCGAAGGAACCCTTGAATCCTTACAGCAACCCCCTAAAGGAACCCTTAAAGGAGCCGTTTGAAGAGTGAGGCCCCCAGTCCATGGCAAAGCCCGCCGTCGAGCTTTGGAAGCGAGGACTCGTTGCTCCCGACGGTTGATGATATTAACCCTGCATTACCCATAATAGGGAATATATATATATATATGTATATATATATATATATATGTATATATACCATAATTCCCATAGTCTAGGGTCCTTAAGGTAATGCAGGATTTGTATCATCAACCGGAATTTTCGGGCTTAGAGTTTAGGGTTCAGGGTTTTGGGGTTTAGGGTTTAGGGCTTTAGCGTTTAGGGTTGAGGGTTCAGGGCTTAGAGTTTAGTGTTCAGGGTTTGGGGTTCAGGTGTTAATTTGAGGGGTTTAGGGTTTAGAGACTAGGTTCAGGGTTTACCAGCACCCCCCAACTCCCAACTACCCTCTATCATACCCTAGATACCCGCTATTAAGGACCATAAGGCTCTATTGAAGGACACTTGGGGGGTCCTGGTAGGGTTTAGGGTTCAAGGCTTAGAGTTCAAGGACGGCTCGGTGCTTGCAGTAAACCCTAGATCCTTGGCAATCCCTCGGTAACTCTATAGTTATAAGTTATAACTATACTTATAACCCTGATTCAGGCACTTAATGGCCTTACTTACTAGGTCCCCTCAGCCTTCAAGAGCGGGAAATTGGGGGCCCCTTACACCCTAAACCCGATATAGAGCCGTTCAGGAGAGGAAGACAAGGGTGCCAATGGCTTCTGCGCTCTCAACTTCGCGAAGAGCTGCACCGCGGCCGCAGCTGTTGGGAAGCTCCTGTTTTCCAATTAAGCTCTGTCACTCTCCAAGGTTTAGGAGTTGGAACCTGGCATAACACCTGCAGAAACCCTCCCAAAAGCCGAAAGACCCTTCCATGACCCCTAAACCCTAAACCCTGAACCCTAAACTAAAACCCTAAATTGACCATTGTTGAACCCTACCTACCCCCCCTATGCCTGGCAGCCGCAAACTCCAACCACGAGCCTTAGTCTATTCAGAGGCGCATTGCTCGATACGGTTGATGATAATAACCCTGCATTACCCATAATAAGAAATATACCATAATTCCCATAGTCTAGGGTCTTTAGGGTAATGCGGGATTTATATCATCAACCGTAGTAGACTTTGGGAAAGGCGTTCGATTGCAACGTGTCCTCTGCCCGAGGGCGCCTTAACGGAGGTTTTGTGGTTTGCAGTTCGGGTGCTTTTTGCGCCTTTTTCAGAGCTCTGTCCTCCAAGGCGCGGATGCCGTTGCCAACCAGGACTTCTGGTTGAGGGTTTGGGGTCTCGGGATGTTTCGCGCTTAGGGTTTAGGGTGTGTGAACAGCGGCCTATACCTGGACTTCCCCGCGAGCCCAAATATTTGGGCTAGTCTGAATCGGGCTTTCGCTAACCTCTGATTCGGTCTCATAGTATAAATCAGACCTGTGCCCGAAATTAGCTTTCGCTCGGCAATCCAGCTGAGAATGGTTCGAAGAGGTCCGATTCAGCACAAGTGGATCACTGCAGGTCTGTTTCGGATTCAGAAAGGTCATGGAATCAAACATTGTGGAGTTGCCGTACAACACAGGTTGTGACAGGTTTGCTTCTGATCAAACACAGGGGTCTTCCGAAGATTCGCAAGTTCGTGGCATGGATACCGATGGCTCTGGGAATTCCTTTTCGCTTTGAGGTGCCGCCGCCCCCTTGCTGCCTTTTGTGATGTTGCTCATGCAGCTGTTCGTGCAACACCCATCATGTGATGCATGTGCCTGCTCTTGAATGCAATGAGTGCCGGAGTGCTGCAGCCACCAGCTTAACTTTGAGTAGACCTAGTGTGATATACACTCTCATGAGTACATGGTGGGATGGGTTGGACCTGAGCCTCCGGAGGCAGATCACTGATCAAGGCCTGTAGTGTTCGGGAATCTTGCCTGTTTTTCGATGTTTTGTGAAGCTTTCTAGAGAAACTACCCGATGCAGGTCTGGGCGATTTGCCGCTGGAGTTTTGGACGAAAGCTTTCCTTGTGCTAGTGCCGGACTGGCAGGACCTTTGTTTGGAACCATCAGTTTATTAGCCCTGTCTCAGTGCTCAATAACCCAAAGTGTATTCCAGGAGGGCTGCAACGTGAAGCCGAGCATGGTCAAGACGGTGATGGTGAACCATCGTGTGGGTGGCTTCGCAAAAGATCTTGCCCAGTCCTACCTTACAGGACTCATGCACGTTTGAAGCCCCCATGAACATTCAATTCGCCGTTTCTCCGGGTCCCATGCAACCCTGAACCTACAAACCCGAAACCCTATATAAGCCCTGAGCTTGATCTCGAAGCCCTATAGCTGCCCCGTAGTTCGGTCCCCAAACCTTTTCTCTCCTCTGTCAGGATCGCTCACTGACGGCTCGTCGGCAGTGCCCGGGATTGAAACGAAGAGGGGATAGCAAGATTCAGTTGAAAAGGGCAGTAATTAATCTAAGTACAACTACTACAAGAATCCACTGCCCTCTTCCTCAGGAAACCTTTGGTTCAGATGCGCGCAGCGAGGGCGCAGAGCCTGTCGGAAGTGAGAGTCAGCAGGGCTAGGCATATGCTGGACAGCCTGTGCTAAACCATTCTAGATCTCAGCTTCTACTGGGCATATGAGCATGGCTTCTTACAAGAGTTCAGCTGCCGGGCTTCACGACTTTGGCTGCATCCACATGCAGTGCTGTGCAGGAGTGAAACATGTGTGGGTGTGCTTTCCGGCTGCTGTGTGTGGAGTAGATCCGTGTGCATCGCCCTCAATGCGCAGGTGCTGCCTGGTCGACTCGCCGACACGAGCAGCAGCAGCGACCCCGGATCCAGTGCAGCGCGACAGGTCCTTCACAGTTCTGATCCGATGCAGTGCATGCATGCATTGAGGTTTCGATCGTACCGTTGTGCATGGGCTCTATGAAGGATTTTGTTCAGATCTTAAGCTCTTTTAGCTTTAGCTTTGAGGGCTACAGTGCACCATGGCTGCAAGAGCCAATGCGGAACGGCAGGCCTTGGAAGGCCTTGCTTCCGAGTGGGAGGCATGCTCGGCTTCCAGACGTCGTTTGTTGCTGGACGGCTACTTGTTAAAGTGGCCCAAGGCCGAACTTACTGGTGTCCCATCATATGCGAGTGCTGCGCTAAACTATGAAAGTTTGGAACCCCTGTTCCGTTTGTGGGCGGCGAACATGCCACTTCCAAAGTCGCCGAGGGTGACTTCTCTACTGGCAGAGGCCGGGGGCTTTGATAGTTCCTGTTCTATAGAAGGCTTGATAGGATTAATGCTGCTAGCTAGTTAGCTAGTTGGTTTTGCAACATCCCCACCAGGTGAAAGCGGTTTGGAACCTCACCGGCCTGAAATCTACCAAGGGAGAAATTCAGTGCGATGCTTGGGGATTTCGGAAATTCCTTTCCTTCTTCATCAAGCGCTTGGCACAAACCACCCGGCCACGTGCCTCTAGGCTGAGCAAGCCGTGCAAATTTCGCATTATGCATGTGTGCAATCCTGACTCGAAGATGTGTATAATTAAGCATCCTACCAAGGAAAAGAGCAACCGGAAGCTGAAGAAAATCTTGATGGAGGCATGGTACCCTGATCGTGTATCCGAGTTACTCAGTGACGACGAAGAGGACCCTAGCATGTTTTGATGATACTAAATTATTTTTGAACCCCGTAGTGGCCCCTGTATTCTCTCCCGACTCTCTCTCGTGTGCTGCAGGATGCCAATGCCCCAGCTGCTGAAGCTGATGACGATGATTACGAGAACTTGGCAGATGACCAGGACCCTGAACCCGAGGAGAATGAAGACGTTGTAGCTTACATGCACGGACGACTGGACGATGCAGATGAGGACGATGAGCCGTCGACAGATGCTGTCTTAGCGCTTTCGAATGAGGCTGAGGGTTCTAGTGCAGAGCCACCTACAGTGGAGGTCCCGGGACACATAAGCAATGCAAGGGCTGAGAATGAGGATTCCAGTGCAAAGCCACTTACAGTGGAGGTCTCCGGACACATAGGCAATGCGAGGGCTGAGAATGAGGATTCCAGGGCAACACAAGCCACACGGGTCTCGGGGCACACGTCTGGCAACAGTGCTGTCCTGGCATCGACGGCTGAAGCATCTGCGGAACCTGAGTTGATTCTGTGTTCGGATGAGGAGAACGAGGCCCCTAAACGTCCTGTTCCCACGCCGCTTCGAGCTAGGGCTTTCATGGCTATGTCAAAAGCCGAACGCCTCAACGATCTCAAGCAGCGACTGTTGCAGTTGATCCTTGGCATGTATATGCAATTGTGACACGAGCATATGTGTGTGTGTGTGTACATGTTTGATATATATCCTACACTGTGGTTCATACTCCGCCCAGGAAGCAGACGAAGGAGGATCGAGTCGCAAAGACGACCTTCCGCCGCGATGGTCCCGTCCGTGGTGACCCTAGCCACTCGTAGCAATTGCTGTCCGAGCACGCCTGGGTTATGATTAATGTATTGCAGCCCCAGCCAAGCCTATAAACCCCGGCACCGATGCATTTGCAAATGCCAACCCGAAACCCTGATCCCGAAACTTCCAACCCTCACTAAGTCCCTTAAACCCCATAGTCAGCCCGTGTTGAACTTTCAGTTATGGTAAATGAACCTTACCTACAGCCACCATGGAATCCTTGTAGCTCCAGAATGCCTCCGTCAAACCCCAAACCGAGGATCCCTAAACCCTATACAGCCCTATATGGCAACCCCTGAACAGAAACCTTATCTACAGCTGTTCTGTGCCTCCTAGCACCCTCGGATTGCATGCACCGAAGATCGCAACACCCTCGTTCTCAATTCAAACCCAAACCTTGAACAACCCTGTTATCAACCTAGCTAGCTTGTCTGTTTTTGCAACCCTACAATAGTCTTAGTTTATCCTTTTTCTTAAAACCCAATCAAAACCCTGAACAACCCTGTATCCCTTCCCAAATCCATAAATGCAGCCAGTGCCCAGGTCGTGTGGAGACACAAACGTACGACATCGAAGCCGTTGCCGAGCGCTGGCAGAACGCCGGCAGCGTGGATGGAGAGTTGGTGGACCTGGAAACCGAAGCAGCTGTGGCTTCGGAAGCTTCTGGGTCTTCTGGGGATTCGGACAAGTTGCCCCTAAAGAGGTTACCGGATCCTGAGGCTGCACGCGACCCCGAACCTTCAGAGTCCCGTGGTGTTCATCTTGCTAGGGCAAAAAGCTTTGCTGAACGTGCGCAAATGTATGACATGAAGGCAGGGGGCTTCGGAGTCGCAAGAAGTATAGTATTCAGGGTGTCAGGTTTTTGGAGTGATATGATAGGTGTGTCGATCTGTGCTAGCTAATGTGCACATTCCCTAAAGGCGGCGGCTGCTGAAGTCTTGACAAAGGAAAAACAGGATGCCATGATGGAAGCAACCAAAGCCAACGAGGATGCAAAGCCAGGTCACGGGGGGGGAGGTCGTGGAAGGGGGGGCAGAGGAAGGGGTGGACGAGGACGTGGAAAGACCCCCTTAACTGCTGATGATGAGGAGGAGGCGGAGCCCGAGCCGACCGAAGCCAAGCCATCCAAGAGGACCAAGAATGCAAAGAAGCATGCGTCGGAGCCAGCCGAGCCAACCGAAGCCCAGCCAACCAAGAGGACCAAGAGGACCAAGGATGCAAAGGAGAGCGCACCGCCTACCGAGCCAACCGAAGCCAAGCCTGCCAAGAGGACCAAGGATGCAGAGGAGAGCGCATCGCCTACCGAGCCAACCGAAGCCAAGCCCGCCAAGAGGACCAAGGATGCAGAGGAGAGCGCATCGCCGGCCGAGCCGAAGGAAGCCAAGCCCGCCAAGAGGACCAAGCATGCAGAGGAGAGCGCATCGCCGGCCGAGCCGAAGGAAGCCAAGCCCGCCAAGAGGACCAAGGATGCAAACGGGAGCGCATCGCCGACCGAGCCAACGGAAGCCAAGCCCGCCAAGAGGACCAAGGATGCAAAGGAGAGCGCGCCGCCTACCGAGCCAACCGAGGCCCACGCACCCAAGCCGAGGAGAGGCCGGCCACCCAAGGCCGGCGGGACCAAGGATGCAGAGCCCCCCAAGCCCAAGAGGAGCACACCAGCGAAGGATGCTGCTGAGCAAACCGAAGCCCCAAAGGCCAAGAGGACCAGAACCAATGTTGCAAAGGAGAATGCTGAGGCTGCCGAAAAGGAGGCCAATGCATCAAGCAGTGCCAACTCCGATAAGAAAGCCCAGCAGGCCCGCCGCAAAGCTATCCGAGATGGCCTGGACATGCCTGTGTATTCGTTTGTGGATATCGACTTCTACTGGAGTCGCAACGGCATGGGTGTGAAACTTCGCAACTGTGCGAATGTGGAGGAACAGGGAAAGCAAGCCACCCGGATGTACGAGGATTAAGCTCTCTCTCCCTCTCTGTCTATATATATATATATATATATATATATATATACATACATACATATATATTTACACACATACATATATATACAAAACTACACATGTACATGTATATATATATATATATATATATGTCTATGTCACAACTATACATTACGTGGCTCAAACCGTACGCAAACGCTGTCCTTGCAAATCATGTTGTAAGATCTCGGTTATCACACACACATGTATACACATATGTACGTGAGAGAGAGAGAGAGAGAGAGAGAGAGAGAGAGAGAGAGACAGAGAGAGAGAGAGAGAGAGAGAGAGACAGTGTGTGTGTGTGACGAAACATGTCCTGTTCCAAATATTGGTCTGAGACGGCAGGGCTGTGTAGGATTGGAGTGTGACTCTATACTATAGGGGTCAGGGTCAGGGTTTTGGGGGTTGAGGGTTTATGGTGAGGTTGTGATGCGGTACCGTGCATGGACCCTATATATTCTCTAAATCCTACATAACCTCTGCAATCAATGAGCCCATCGCCAACCCGAGCCGAGGTTCTCTACTTGGGCTACAAAGGTGTTGCCGAGCACACTGCGATGATCACGATGTGGAAGTTTGCAAGACCAGCAGCTGTTTGTCTACAAATTAAACCATTCATTCCCACCATCCTTAGAGATTCAATTCACAAAATCCCCTGCCTCTCTGAGGCTGATCTCGTTGAAAAGGCAAAGGGCCACCTGACGCCAGCACTCGTGGAGAAGCTGGCAACGATTAAGGAGGACTTTGCAAACAGGTCCGAGGTCTAGTGAGTCGAGTGAGCCTGGCGAACGGTTCCGATACCAATGGTGCTTGTGTGCATGGTGCTGAAGCTTTTATTCAAAGCTGTTCTTCAAAGGATGCAGTTGTGATTCCAGCTGCTACAATATGCCAAAGGCAATGCAGCAATCATGAAATTCAGTATGCATCAGAGCACAGCTCTTCAGTTTCAACGAGCAACGGAGGGCAGCCTGAAACAATTCTCAGAACTGCTTTTGCACAGCCTTGTGACCTGAAGCTGCAAGCTTGAAGATTGCCTTTCGTCCTTGATGATCCCCTTACCAAAATATGGATGCATTTGTCTCCCAGGTCCACACGATGCCCTTCCTCATGCACGCCGTGAAGTTCGGCCAGAACAAAAGAGATGGTGCGCCCCCTCCCGCCTGTGCAGTAAGGTTTTGATCAAGCCATGTACCCAGGAAGCCACTGAAGCACCGAAAAGCCCGACAATAGAAACCCTCGAAGCCCCATGTGTGCAGCCTTCCGAAACCGTGTTCGCGAGTTTCGTCCGGCTCAGGCTAATTGAGATGCAGGTTTCGCCGTTTGAGCACAAGCATCGCCAGAAGCATAGCCTACACGCACATTCTGTGTAAAAGTAACAAATCCTGTCTCTAAACCCTTAACACCGGAACTGGTTCTAAAGCCTTTTATGTAAGCCCTTTCAGACCCATAGATAATTTTGTAGAAGCCCCGTGCATAACCCCCCCTCTATATATATATATATATATATATATATATATATATACCTATATACACACTAGAAGCTGCCCCCACCCTGTAAGAGTGGTATAATAGGAATATAATAGGGCCCTAATATAATCCTATATAACCCTTATGGTCACTATTACAGGGTGGTGGCAGCTTCTAATATATACACATATATATATAAGCCCTATGCAATCCATTCCGGCTGATACAAACCCTGTAGACCATGAAGAATAACAAACCCCAGCTTCGTGGGGTGCTCACTTTGAAAGCTTAAGTCCCGAGACCTCCCACTGCCTTCAAGATGGTCCAGCCGTCAGAGATGGATGCAGTGGTCGCCAGGCTCATCCGATTGGGCTCGCCGAAGGATCCTCGGCTCCACAAGTTCATGTGCTCAGAGTCCCCAGATCTATGCTTTCGAGGCATTCGTCATGTTGGTCCTGTTGTGCTCCTGGCTGAACTTTGCTCAACTCGGCCACAAGTCATACGACTTGGTGGAAGCTTTTGCTGGGCGTGCAGAGTTATCACGATCGTGTCGCAAGTGCAACATACATGCAGCAGCTGCTGACCTTTCCTATGATACCCACGCATTCAGAAAAGGGGGGATGGATTTAACAACACCCTCAGGCTTTGTGTCTCTTGCCAGCAGTCAATGCGACAACATGATGAGTGAGACAAGGTTTTTGCTGACGGTCCAAACCGATCGGTGTATTCAGAATTGTACCCACAACCGAGGCTGCTGGTTCTTCTTGTACTCAGACTACGCCTTGATTCATCCATGGCATTCTTCGCCATATGTTGCTCTTCCTTTGTGACAATTTCCCGAAGTACCACGGGCAGGTCGATTCTACTACCCCTGGGGAATACGGCATTTGCGAAGGTCAGGACAGCCAACCTTCTCGCTAGCAGGCATTGCTTTGAAAACCTTGTTATGTAAACGATCTGTTGAGTTGCTTTGTGAGGGGATGCCTCTGTTTTGTGGGTTTTGGGTGTTTCGGGAACTTGCTGTTGTGTGGATTCTAGATAGGCTCTCGTGCTGATCAGGGATTTGGATTCTTCATGTTTTCGATCAATCCTTATCTACGACCTTGGCTTGGGGTTGGGGGCTTCAGGGGTTGGGGAGATGCTTTGTTGCAGTCTGGCTGCATCAATTACCAGCCCAACCGCAGTCTTTCAGGCTTGATTAGAAAGGATTAAAGGGTTTATAGGGGTTTTGGGGTTCAAGGTTTCAATACCGACCAATCAAGGGTATACAGCGACATAACTTAGCCCCTGCTTAAGCACCCATCTCTTCCATGCTCCCTGACGCGAGACTTAGCATGATTGAGCCCTTGCTTCAGCACCCACCCCTGCTTTGCCTCAACCCTCGGACTAGACAAAACCCCCAACCTACTCCGTAATGTAGCGCGCGATAACACTACAATCGCGACAAAACCAGTGGATGTGCTTATACTTCTTAGCACCAATTAACGAATCGCCAAGGAATGCTACTCGTTCCTGTGTGTATACATGTCTGTAGTACCTTTAGTCCATATTTGCAAAAAAACAAAGCATGTTCAAACCGTAAATCCCCTGCAGACTGGCTCTGCTGCTGCAGCTCGCCGTGGCCGTCGGTGCCACATGGGTGGTGGAGCAGCCTCGAGGAAGCTTGCTCTTCGAGCATGACCGACTTTCAGAGTTGGTGGAAAGTTGGATGGGGAGGGTCAACGAAACCAGGCTTTTCAAGATTCTGGCTGATCTGTTTTGCACAGTGGCTGGAAATGTGTGGTACTGTAGCTGTGCAGCTGCTGATAAACGCATTGCCCTCCAAGGTATTCAAGCAATCTTTCTGGATGATGCACTTCAAGGCTCCGTCTCCTAAAAGGACATTCCTATGGAGCAACTCCTCTTCGATACGACGTTTCGACTATGGCAAGTTAACACGTGCTCAAATGCAGCGACAAACACGGTTGAAGACTGTTGTTCGTGGGCCGACGAAGAGGGGGCGGGCTGGGTTTACAGGGACTCGATCCTTGAAGTCGACACAGCAGCATCCTCAATTGCTTCGTTGTGAAGATGTATGTCTAAACATGGCTGTAATACTGTAGAGCTATAGCATCCTGTTCGAAGAAACACTGCACTTGAGGACGTACACATTCCATTTTGCCCGCAAAGTGATCCAGACTATGCCTTCGTTGACCGACCCCAACACCAAATCTGAACCCCCTGCGACTCTTCTGCATTTCTGTGTTGCAGGAACAAGTATATAGCCCCTTTGTAGCTCCTTGCTGCCGAGACAATTGCCGGCCTGAACATCATGGAGGAGTTCGGGAGCATGCCGCTGGGTGACCTCTGGCACGATGCAAAGTTAGTGGATGCCATCTACTATGTGAGGGGTAGCAAGTCTTTGAGAATCCCAAATGAAGAATGGCGACGTGTGTTGCCAACCCTGCTCTGAAACAAACTGTTGCCATGGTCGGTTACTGGAGTTAGACTGTACACCTAACAGCTACAGATTCAGGTTTGGCATGCACACCATGGGGCAATCGATGAAGACTCTTAGATGGGTTCTTATTGTCTTATTGTTCTCGAAAGGGAGTAGTCGGGGCTGGGCTCGGGGTTCGGCAGGCTGCTAAAGCTCTATCGATGAGTTTGGGGGCTGTAGTTGTGTGTGTGGGGTGTGGGTGTGTTCGGTTCTGTTCGTTTCTCTTCGGTTCGGTTCGGGTTCACCCCGGGACACCGCAACCCGTACACGCCTGTAGTACCGACAAAACAACCCGTACACAGCTGTACCCGTACATAGGCCGGATTCTCCCAACAAAAGGCCGAAAATAAGCGTGCACCGTGCTCGGGCGTACACGCCCGTACACGCCCGTACACGCCCGTACACGCCCCTACGTGCCTGTATGCTTTGTAAACGTCCCTTACACTCTTTGGTGGTACCCCGCAGCCAATTCTGTGTACTCCCCACACAAAGTGCCCCAGAAACCCAGTATTGTAGCCATGCCTAGTTCAACGCTGGCCGTGGTTGTTTTAGACGATCTAGCTAGCATCCCAGCTCGTGCCTTTGTAGTGGTAAATGCAAGTGTTCTGTCGTGCTCCAGCGATCAGCAGCCTTGCACAACCCTCCAGACTGTGCTATGTGATGTGTCGATAAGGAAGTTCCTGCAATCCTTGAATTTTATGTTCAAAACCCAATGCTAGATTTGGAAAAGCTATATACACTGCACCCAATAGAGATGTATAAACCCGATAATTATTTCTCATATTTGGTACAAGAGTTACTAGTACTCCGTAGCAAAGATCCCACCATGGCAAAACGACTTCGGAGCTTGGGTTCGTGTCTCTGGGAGACAGACGAAGAGGTCACGTTCGAGGATTGGCTGGCCTCGCAACCGGCTGCTTGTTGCTGTGGCAAGGATGCGCAGATAAGGAGTCTTCAGCAGGAGATTGAAAATCTACGTGCCCTTGCCCAAGACCTGCATATCCGATTGAAAGTGGCATCCCTTCCTGCAGTGCCTTCCAATGAGCTCACAGTGAAGAAGCCCGGTATGTCCCGAAAACAAAACCGCGACCCTTGGCACTGGCTTACTCTGCTGCCTGAGACGGTTACAGGTTTGCCTAGAATGCTGGATGACATCATACCATCTCTTCGAAGCACGTCCTTCGCCAACCTATGTGGGGCTACTGTACCCTCTGCTATCCTGGACCACTGCGAGATCTCCATAAACTCCGTATTTGGCAAATACCCTGCCATATACAAGATAGGCATAACTCGCAACCCAGTCGAACGTTGGCAGATCGGATATGTCAAAGACACCACCCAAGCCTGGTCAGAAATGAAGGTCCTGGTAGCTCTGAGGGATCCAGTCGCTGTGGGATTCGTAGAAGCCGCCCTTATCCGCCGTTACCAGGGCAGTCCGGGTAATATGAACATCAGAAGGGGAGGGGAAGGGGTTGACCTTTCAGGTGCTGGGCCCTTTTTTGCATATGTGGTTTATCGTTGCCTTGTCCCACCGAAGTGTGCTTTGGCCAAAAGGACATAGCTGTGCTTCCCAATGTTAGGAAATAGTGTGTCTTGCAAGGTATGGCTGTCACTTTATAAATACAGAGCCGTGGCGAAGCTTCTTTGGTGGCTTAAATGCTAGCAACGGTACCTGTCACAATGACTGGTGTGTGCTTGCTCACACCGGCTTCGGGGCCTGCTGAAATCGTTTGTAAGTTGCATGCACTCTGCAAGGCTATTTGACTGAGTCCATATGCACACGGATTGGTGTTATCCCTGAATCCAATTGTTATTATCCGTTCATCTGCAGGAGGCCCCGGTAATTATTTTGCCCTAGGTACTACTGAGTGCCGATTTGGGCTTCTGAGTGCAGCATGGATTATCGTTGCACCGAATCCAGCATGAGAGAAGTTTAGTGGGCCAGCTGTGTCAGCTTGCGATGAACTAATATACCACATGCATAGCCGGCATAGTCTTGACTTGCCTCACATGCAGCTGCTGAGTCATGCCCCGTGCCTGATATTGCCTGGGATCCTCAAGGATTTTTCGTGCCTAGCTGCTTTAGCAAGGGGGCCTTTCGAGGCTCGTCTGATCATGTCGGAGGCCCCACCTGAGACGAGACACCTTGTGTCGAAGTCTTTCAGCACGGCCACTTTGCAGGAAGCGCTTTCCTTGGTGGACCAGCAGCAGGTCAAGGACGAGCAGATTGATG